CAAAATTGATGTGAGAATGTAAAGGACTGAGAAAAGCCACCATTGCTTTGGCATAAAAGCTACAGTGAGGACACTCACCCTATCAAATATCAAGATGTGATATTAGTAGAAACTTGGAAAAGTAAAGAGGAAACAGGCTCTCATGCAGGACGCACTTCCACCCATACTCCAGGAAACTTTGACTGAGGTTGCACCATCCTTTAAGTGGTTGGGTACAGTTGACTAGGCATAGGAACAAACAAATCCTTATCGTACAGCCTCCAGAGTACAACTTCCACATGATGTAGATAACTAACTAAAAAACAAACAACCTACTCTCTGTCCCACCTCTGTAAATTGTCGTTCGGTTAAATCTTCCTCATGTTACCAGTTTGAGTGTATCCTTTTTCTTCTGTGGAATTCTGTAATGAGAGCCTTTGGGGTTCAGAGAGAAAGTAACAGCCAGTGAAAGTCTGAGGACAAATTTATCTCTCACTCTGTGCTGTTCTGAATCAGTTGTTAATTGTTCTGCTTCTATTTTAATTCTCCTGGCCTTCCTCTTAATTTCTTCTATCCTTTTCCCCTCTATTCTAAAAACTCTTCTCCTTAAGGAGTCTTGAAGCAATAAAAAAAAATTTATAAGGGTTACCTCTCATTGGTCAAAAGCACATTTTTAGAGTAAGCGATATGGAGCTGAACCATTGCCATAGCAACACAAGATTCCAAAGTTATAGGAATAAGACTGATAACCAGATGGGGAGGGGGCACAGTACACAGTGACAAATTTTGAGGCATAGGTCTATTGTTAACATATTTGAGAAACAGAATTGTTTTTCTTAGGGTGCTCTGTATAGTAACCTTGGTTGGACATCTGTGATTCTGACCTTTTATATAGCTGTAAAGTTTTAAGCTTATAATCTATTTACAAAAAGCCTTTAGTCTAGTTTAAAATTATTCTTAGGTGAAAGTGAGCTAATTGTGTGTAGTAGTTAGTTGAGCCAAAAGGAACAAATCAGGGTTTTAAGTATCTATAGTTCTCATAGAACAAATAGATCTAGTTATGAAGCATGTCCTAATACATATTTTATACACCAAAATTATATAACTAAATGAAAAAATAATGTTCCTGACTGCCCATGGATATATGTGCCCATAAACTGAGATGTAATCATGAAATTATATATACACATTGAATAAAAATACATAGTAATTGGGAGATATCATAGCTGTTATTGTACAAATGAAATTACAGATGAAAGCAACCATTTTCAGAGTCAGTTATCTGCAAGCCTTGCTGATGGGGTACCCCATCAGCGAATACTTCCTCTGGTGAGGTGACATCTGAATTATCAATTGCTATGAGCTGTAATTTTGTCATGGCTTGTGATAAACACTCCTGACAATTCTGTTACCAAAAGAAAAAGGAAGAAAGTTTTTTTTTTAATTTAAAAATATTTAATTTAATTTCCCATATTGCTTATGGCTGTGAGTTATTAAACTTTATCTTTCAGGAAAACAGCACTATTGGATGACTGGCATTTTGAGGAGTTCAGTCTTCTGAAGGTCATTGCATTAATAATTTTTTAAGTCTAGGCATGGAGCTCACTGATAGATTGCATGCCTAATGTGTGAGGCTGAGGTCCTGCAAATTATTTTTTCAATTAAAAATGCAAAATATAGCTGTGTATGTTGGTATATTCTTATAAATTCAAGACCAGCCTTGGTTACCATAAATAAATAAATAATAAACAAACAAACAAACATTGTCAAGGTCTTTCCCTTCCTTGATTAGCATTACTCCTAGTGTTTATTTTTTAAAGCTATTATGAATCGGCTATATTTCTGTTTTATTTCATAGCAATCTCATTACAGAGATCCAGAGAATTTGCTGATTTTTCTGGTAATATCTTTTACGGTCTTTTAAGTCTTCAATTACAGAGTTTGTAAATAGGGCTAATTTAACTTCTTTCTTACAAATGATGTGCTGACTAGTTTTATTTCGACTTGACACAAACTTCAGTCACTGGTGAGGACAGCACCTCAATTGAGAAAATGAGTCCATAAGACCTACTTGCAGGCAGGCCTGTAGGAAATTTTCTTAATTAGTGATTAGTGAAAGCACCCAGCTAATTGTGGGTAGTGCCAACCCTGGCTGGAGGTCCCGAGTTCTTTAAGAAAGCAGGATGAACAAGTCATGGAGAGTAAGCAAGCAAGCAACCGCTCTTGAAGGCATTTGCATCAACCTGCCTCTGGGTACCTGCCCTGCTTGAGTTCCTGTCCTGATTTCCTTCAATGAATAGTGATATGGAAGTGAACCCAAGTTGCTTTTGGTCATGATATTCATCCCAGAAATAGAATTCTTTTTTTCCTCCAGCAATAGAAATCTTAACTTTCCTTTCTCTATTCTTATTTATTATAATGCTTATAATATTAGTGTTATACTGATATATGCATGTAGTATCTTCCAACTTCATATATGTTAAATATGTGTTTGATATATATAATATATACCATTTATTAATTTTAACTAAGTTCCTTTTTGTTGTAGCATGAGTGTGAAATGTTCCTCTTAAGCTAATGTGTTTGACCACTTGATCCCCAGCCGGTGGTACTGTCTTCCCAAAAGGTTATGGAACCTTTAGCAGGTGGAACCCTGTTGGAGGAAATGTGTAATCAAGGATGGTTCTTGAGTTTTTATAGCTTGGCTCCACTTCTTGTTCTTTCTTCACTTCTTAACTGTGGATACAATATGATCATTTGCCTCCTGCTCCTGCAATCCTCGTTCCCTCTGACATGCTGGACTATAAGGCAAAACGGATCCTTCCCCACTTAAGTTGCTTTTGTCACAGCAATAAAAGCAACTATTGTTCTCAGTTTCTTTAGGAATTTTTTTTTTATCATGACAGGGCACTGAACTTTGTTAAATACCTTTTTTGGATCTATTGAGATGACCATGTAAATATCTAACCTCAAATCTGTTTTTATGATTTATTACATTTATTGATTTGTATTTGTTTCTGCTGAACCAACCTAACCTCTCGGTGATAAAAATCAAGTCAGCCTTGACATAACTTCTTAGTGAGCTCTTGAATTTAGTTTATAAGTACATTATTGACTATTCATCAGAGTATTTGCTCTATGGTTAAAAGTTCCAGCACTCCACAATGAAGAGAAAATCCTTTCCAACTGTGGTGGTTTGAAAGAAAATAGCCCTCAAAATGAGTGACACTATTAGGAAGTGTGGTCTTGTTGGAGGAAGTGTGTCACTGTGGAGACAGGCTTTGAGGTCTCATATGTGCTCAAGATACTGCCCAGTGTCTCAGTTCACTTCTTGTTGCCTTTGAATCAAGCTGTAGAATTCTCCAGCAACATGTCTACCTGCATGTTGTCACTCCCAGCCATCATACTCCCCTCCATGATGACAATGGACTAAACCTCTGAAACTGTAATCTGCCACCTCAATGAAATGTCTTTCTTTATAAGAGTTGCCATGGGTCATGGTTCCTCTTCACAGAAATAGAAACCCAAACTAAGACACTAACTGTATGTAAGACAGGAGGTTGATAACTAGACTATGTAAAGAACTGTAAAAATTAAACATCGTTAGGTCCCAAAGAATCACCCAGAAAGTCTACATAAGTTATAAGACTGATTGGCCCATTAGCTCAGGCTTCTTATTAACTCTTATAACTTATATTAACCCATTATTCTTATTTATGTTAGCCATATGGCTCAGTACTTTTTCCAGCAGGGCAGGTCACATCTTGCTTCTTCCACGGTCTGGGCAGGACTGGAGAAAAAGCTTCCTTCTTCCCAGAATATTCCTGTTCTCATTGCCCTGCCTCTACTTCCTGTCTGGTTGTCCTGCCTATACTTCCTGCCTGGCTATTGGCCAATCAGCATTTATTTAAAACGTAATTGACAGAATACATCATTATCCCACACCACTTTCTTTTTTTTTTTTTTTTTTTTTTTTTTTTTTTTTTTTTTTTTTAGAAAACAAGAACACCCATAGTCCATTTTGGGGGAATTTGGACATAGTATTCCAGGCTACTTACTGCTGGTTAGGGGTGCTGATATTCTTATGGGGACATAAAAAATTTAGAATTATGATCAAGTCCTGACTGGAGTATCCTGTGAGTCTTGATCATCTCAGGCAGCAGTCTTGAATTTGTTCTGGATGTAGAAATCAGACATCCAGGCCATCTGTTCCTACCGGAGATTTCTCAGTTGGTCTTCCTTGATCCAAACCTGTTTTTTCTTAACTCCGAATGAATCCACAGTCTCTCATTTCCTGTGGAAACAAAAGCAAAATCTCTTCTCCAAAGTAACATACCTTTTGACTTCAATTTTGAAGTCAAGGTATTTTCAAAATACCTATCTTGGGTTAATTCAGCAGCGTTTATAAGAAAATATCTTTTGGCAGCTGTTATTCCTTCCTCAGCATTCAAACAATTTAAATAGAGCAACAGTATCCAGATTCTCTGTGTGTTTTCCATCTTTATACAGAATTGTCCCACACCAGAGAGTAGTGACACACAGCTTTAAGCCCAGTAAGCACACTAGTTTGCCATAGAAACCCAGCAGTGGTGGTGCATACCTTTAATCCCAGCCCTTAGAGGGCATATAAAACATGAGAGAGCTCTCAGACACAATCTCATTCTGAGGATTTCTGTAGTATCACCATTTTCAGACTGAAGTAGAGGAAAGAGTCAGTAGCTGGCTGCTTTGCTTTTCTGGTCTTCAGGTTGAACCCCGATATCTGTCTCTGGGTTTTATTAATCATTCTAGCTACAGGTGGCTGGTGTTCTGCAGAACAGAGCTAGGGATGAAACTAGAGGATTGGATTTGAAGAGAATGAGAGAGGGATGAGCTATCCAGTTAGCCCACAAGTGTGATTTTAACATCTTTATTACACTTATTTTAATGTCAACATTTGTCTTGTAGGTTTAAAGGAAAAAAAGAACATGGAAAAGTAGAGTTATAGTCTTGAGTTGGTGGAAGAGATACCAGTAAATAAGATGTCAGAAGATGAGGATAGCTCGGACTCTGGAAGAGCCACTAGATCCGGATCACCAGAGGAGACTGGATTTATTGAATCACCAGACCCCTTAAATGAAGCTTCTCCTTATTCTGAAAGGAGCGATTCTAGTCATATTTATGAAACAAGTTCTTCAAAGGGCACAGAACAGTCAGCAGCTTCCTCTCCAAACCAACTTAACAGTGATGAAGAGAATAATAAAAACATTCCATTTTCTGATACCAACATAGCAGATGTCACCCCACTGTCCCGAAACTCCGTGTCATCAGAGACGAAGGCAACGGAAGACTATCAAAATGTTGGATTTCCATCTGGGGAAAATCAGAAAGAATTTGACTTAGAGACAGATAACTTTGCAGTTAATCTTGAGGCCAAGGGTTTACAAGAATTCCCTGTGGACATTTTAAAAGTCAAATATGTAAAATATCTGTATTTAGATAAGAATCAAATAAAAACTTTCCAAGGGGCAGATCCAGGAGATCTGCTAGGACTTGAGATTCTGTCCCTGCAAGAAAATGGATTGCCATCAATCCCCATGGAAATTCAGTTATTTCACAACTTAAGGATACTAAATGCCAGTTACAACCAGATATCATGCATACCTAAAGAACTATTACAACTTAGGAATATGACACAACTCTTTTTAAATAGTAATTTTATTGAGGATTTACCTACTGCTGGCTTGGAAAGTCTTAGAAATTTGGAAATTTTAAGTTTAGGTAAAAATATGTTAACACATATACCAGAGTCTTTGTCTAGTTTGAAGAACTTGCAAATTCTTAATCTGGAATATAACCAATTGACAATATTTTCCAAGTCCCTATGCTTCCTTCCAAAACTGGTTTCACTAAACCTTACTGGAAACATGATAGGCAGTTTGCCAAAAGAAGTTAGGGAGCTGAAAAACTTAGAAACCTTTTTAATGGATCATAATAAACTTACCTTTTTGTCTGTGGAAATTTTTCAGCTGCCCAAAATAAAAGAACTTCATCTAGCTGACAATAAATTGGAAGCTATTTCAAACAAAATTGAGAATTTCAGACAACTCAGACTTCTTAACCTTGATAAAAACTTATTGAAAAACATGCCAAAGAAAATTTCCCACTGTGTAATGTTGGAATATCTTAGTCTTAGTGATAATAACATAGAAGAGCTTCCTAGGAAAATCCATAGGCTTAAAAATTTGAGACAGCTCCATGTAAACAGAAATAAAATGATAAAAATGGCTGAGGAAATCTCACATCTTAATAACATAAACAGCCTGGAGTTTTCAGGCAATCAAATCACACACATTCCAATTGAAATAAAAAACTGCAAAAAAATAACCAGAGTTGAATTGAATAACAACAATATAATGTACTTCCCAGTGGGGTTGTGTGCTTTACCGGCACTTGACTACCTGAGTTTTAATGGAAATTATATTTCAGAAATACCTATGGATATATCATTTAGTAAGGAACTGCTTCATTTAGAGTTGAATAGAAACAAACTCCCCATATTTTCAGAGCACTTGTGTTCTCTCACTAATCTTGAATACCTGGATCTTGGTAAAAACCAAATAAAGATAATTCCACCCTGTATCTCTGCCATGGTGTCACTCCATGTGCTCATTCTGTCTGGTAATAAGTTTGAAATTTTTCCAAAGGAACTGTGTGCTTTAAAAAACTTGCAAGTACTTGATATTTCAGAAAATTACTTACAGAAAATACCTTCAGACATCTCTAAACTGAAAGGGATCCAGAAATTAAACTTCTCGAGCAATCAGTTCACACATTTTCCTGTTGAACTGTGCCAACTTCAAACCCTGGAGGAGCTGAATATGAGTCAGACGAATGGGAAAAAGGTAAGAGTGCTCTCTTGGGTTTGGTGGGGAGAGCGACTAGAGGAGTCTCAACCTGAGACACATTGTACTTGTGTCCTTACTAGCTTTACGTTAACTTGACACAAGCTAGAGTCATCAAAGAGGAGGGAGCCTTGATTGAGAAAATGCCTCCATGAAATCCAGCTGTAAGGCATATTCTTAAGTTATCAAAGGGGAAGGACCCAGCCTATTGTGGGTGGCACCACCCTGGGCTGGTGGTTCTGGATTCAATAAGAAAGCAGGTTGAGCAAGCCATGAAGAGCAAGACAGTAGGCAGCTCCCCTCCATGGCCTCTGCATCAACTCCTGTCTCCAGGTTTTTACCCTGTATGAGTTCCTGCCCTCACTGCTTTTGATGATGAACTGTCATATGGAACTGAGAGTGGAATAAACACTTTTCTTCCCAAGTTGCTTTTGGTCATGGTGTTTCATCACAGCAGTAGCGACCTTAACTAAGACAACATGGAAGTTCTTTTGTGTGTATTTTAAATAAGTGGAATGCTCTATGTTTGAAAACATGACCTAGAGACAGAACTCTCTACACAAAAGCTTTTCAGGACAACATTTCATTCGAATGCAATGGGAAACAAAGTAGATAATTTTGTAGATTGCTTTCTATTTAGTTCATTGGGGAAATTTTAAGTTGTATGTGTCTTGTACATGTATGCATTCCTGTAGTGTGTACATGGATGCATGTGGGTGCACATGGGTGCATGCAGAAGCCAAAGGTCTCTTCAGTTTTTTTTTCCTATTTTTTGTTTGTTTGGGTTTTTGAGATTTTAGACAAGGTCTCAGTGTGTAGCTCTGGCAGTCCTGGAATTTACTGTGTCGACTGGATTGGCCTTGACCTCATAGAGATCAACCTGTTTTATTTCTTCTTTGATTGCTGGAATTCATTGTGTCACCATGACCATTGATTCTACCTAATTTTTTTTGAGACAATCTCTCACTGAACCTGGAGATCATGGATTGGCTAGACTAGTTGTTCACTAAATGTGTCTCCACCTCAACCCTTCTGCACTGGGGTCATATGCATGGTCCCAGCTTTCCAGTGAGTGCAGGGGATTCAAACTCAGATCTTCATGCTTTCAGACACTTTATTTACTGAGTCATCTACTGACTCCTATTGTAAGAAGTTTTAAAGTTTGCAAATCATATAAACACATTATTGAGCTGGGAATATGGTTCATTGGCAGCATTTTGACAACTCATGCATGACTCTGGGTTTGATCTCCACTGCCATAATGCATCACTGAAAAATCTAGAAAATTGAGATGATAGAAATTTTCCACAGACATATCATAATAAAACTATTATATATTGTTTTAGTGTACTTTTAGTCTGTTTTTCAGTTATAGACTACAAATTCAATTTAAAATTTTATTCGATATAAGCATTTATCCTTAACAGAACATAATAATATTCCCAATAACTTTTATAATAATACATGATTTATGTAATAGTCCTCTGAAAGTCTTTTCTTCATGATAATGCTTTAGTAAATTTCTTCATAAATATATTTTTCATATTTCAAACTGTTTTCTTTGGAAATTACTCCTAGAAATGTATCGGTTAATTATTTGCTTATTTACTTCTTACTACCTATTTACTGAGGTGTTGGAAACAAACCCATTCCTCACATAGTAGGTAAGTTCTCTGCTACTAAACTATACCTCAAACTTTGGAAATATTTTTTTAAATTACTGATATATCCTTAAATCTCAATAAGCACAGCTATCACCTGACCATCTTTAATGCTAGATTATTATTCAGAGCAAAATCCCTCTAAAATCTGTTCTTAAAAAAATCTTCCTTTTTGCTCAAAAATAATCTCTATTATCTATGGCTCAGAACCAAAGTTATCTGGCTTTTACATCTTATACCTACTATGTAATACATTTTCAGCAAGTCTGCCACAGTAGCAGTGTGTGTCCTAAGTAAATGGAATGAAGAATGAGACAAAATGTAGTAAAGTTACTTTGTATTAAATACACATTTTGATTCTTCAATATAATTACCAGCTAATTTGACTAGTTTCTGTTAAGTACTTTTGAGTATCTCTTGCAATGTCTTGTGACTCCTCTAGACTATGTCCCTAACTGTAGTTGGAACTTTCTTTGGCCACCAATCAGCTCCCAAATAAAGCACAGAGACATTATTAATTAGGATTGCTTAGCCTTAGTTGAGGCTTATCCCACTAGCTCTTATAACTCAATTTAACCTGTTTCTGTTCATCTACATTTTGCCTTTGGGTTTTTTACCTTTTTTATTATGTATTCCTGCTTTATCCATGTCTGGATGGCTGGCCCCTGGTGTCTCTTCTTTCTTCCCTTTCTCACCTGAGCCTAGATTTCTTCTCCTACTCATTCTCTCTGTGCGCTAGCCCTGTCTATCCCTCCTCTGCCTGGCTATTGGCCATTCAGATTTTTATTAGACCAGACAGGTGCCTTAAACAGGGAAGTAGAACAGCAATCTTTATCTAGTTAAACAAATATTCCTCAACATAACAAACGCCACACATCTTTACTGCCTTAAACAAATATTCCACAATATAAACAAATGCAACACTTTTTTACCTAGTTAAATGAATATTCCACAGAATAAACGAATGCAACATATCTTTACATAGTTAAACAAATATCCTATTGCATAACACCAACTTTTCATTAACTGTTTGATGTCATCACACCTACTTGTCACACACATAATCCCTAGCACTCTAGTTCCACAGTTGATAATTTCCCCTGGAATTTTTAATGTCAGTTTCTCTGTCTTCACCCTGTGCTTGCTGACTTATTTTTCTGTTTATCAGGCCTTGTCAAACTCATCAGATTTCATTCCAAAAGATTTTTTTTTAAAAGTACTTATTCTATTTTATGTGTATGAGTGTCTTGCTTCAGTGTATGTGTGTATAAAGCCTGCTTGAATCTCATGGAAGACAAAAGAAGGTGTCAGATACCTTGGAACTGGAGTTAAAGTTGATTGTGAATTGCTGTGTAGGTGCTGAGAATAAAACTTCAATCCTTTCCAAGAACAGCAAGGACTCTTAACTGGTAAACAATGTCTTCAGTTCCACAGGGGACTGATATTAGTGTTTTCTGTTTGGCATGATGGCATATGACTGCAATCCAACACTCACAAGGCTGAGCAAAAGGATAGTAGGTTGAACCTGGAATGCAGAGTAAGACTGTCTAAAAAAGGAAGGGTGGAAGAAAGGAAAGAGAAAGAAAAAAGGAAGAAGAAAAGAGGGAGGAAGGAAATTTAGGATCAAAGTAGTTGCCCAAAGCACCAGTCAAGTCTTTACAACATCATTTTAAAAGTCATTAGATGGGAAAACATTGTTTATAAGAATCCTTCTTGCCAGGCGATGGTGGCACATACCTTTAATCCCAGCACTCAGGAGGCAGAGGCAGGTGGATCTCTGTGCGTTGGAGGCCAGCCTGATCTATAAGAGCTAGTTCCAGGACAGGATCCAAAGCTACAGAGAAACCCTGTCTCGAAAAACAAACAAGCAAACAAAAAGAGAATACCTAAAGGACTAGCTGATTCAAAAGTCATTCAATTTTCAAAAAGAACATTCGTTTGAGGGTAATTCAATGACAGGCCTACTGACCTATGCTGATCTTATTTTTGCTACATAAACTTGGCCCTCAGTCTTGCATAATCTTGCTTACTTACGTATTTCTATGAAGTTCTTAACACTTCTCCGTAATGGACACCTCCTCATTAATCCTATTTATGTATGATGTTTATCCTGCTTTACATAACGTACTTCAGTCCTACTCATTCTTATGTGTGTGTTTGCGTATGTGTGTTTGTGTCGTATGTGTGTATGGGTGTTTGTGTTGTGTGTGGTATGTATGTATTCCTGTGATTTGTGTGGTGTGTTGTGTGTATATGTGTTGTATGTGTGTATGTATGTGTTGTATTGTGTATGTGTACGGGTTCTGTGTGGTGTATATGTGTGGTGTATACACATGTGTAAGGATGGGTGTCTTCCTATATTGTTCTCTGTGATGAGAATAAGATAAAGTGTGACTGAGTAGTTAAAAAAACTTCAGGGAAGAACAAAAGACAAGGCAGCATTAACCCTAGGGAAACAAGAAAGACGAGAGTGGGTGACAGTTGGGGTGTGGGAAGAAAGAGGTTCATAAGCAACAGGGCTAATTAGGGAGCACTGATAAGACCATGAGTTACATGGGTGCTAAACAAAAGTTTGAGGATTTTTAGAATGTAAAGTCACAAAGAATCTGTGACAGAATGAAAATATCTCCTTAGGAAAAGGTTAAAACAAAACTTTATTTTTCCACTGTTTTCAAAAGGAAAATGTAGTGATACAAATACTTATGGATTTTTAAAATCATCATTGTTTAATCATCCTTGCAGTTAACAAGACTTCCAGAAGAGCTGTCTAATATGACTCAACTCAAAACACTTGATATCTCGAACAATGCCATCAAAGAGATTCCAAGAAATATAGGGGAGTTGAGAAGCCTGGTTAGTCTACATGCAAATAACAATCAAATAAGTTCTCTGCCACCATCCTTTCTGTCTTTAAAAGTTCTACAGCACCTAGACCTCAGAGGTACGTGTCAAGTATAATAAGCAATATGAATCTGTAAGTAGAACATTGATGCTAAATTTCAGATTTTGCTGACGAAAGCATATCAGACAGTGCATTAAGTGGGCATCAGAAGGAGAGGGGCACACAGTGCGTTCCCAGTAGCAAGAAATGAACATGAAGATGAAGAACTGATTTCTTGCCTTGAAAGCCCTAGATATGGAAACAGAAGGAAACAGGTGCTGTGGTGGGGGAAATGGGAGAAGTGGGGGGAACTTTAGGTGGGAAGTGGGGGGCAATACAGAGGGAGTGGGGAGCAGAAGTAATACTATGAATGTTTGGAAAAGGCATAAGGGATCATATATTATGTTTATAATTTAGATGAAGTTATGCTATTTGGGGTGATAGTGCTTCCTCCAAAAGCCATGGACTATCTAATGAAAACTACACTACCAAGCATGAGAAACATCTTTTCTAGCTTTTGGTCAGGGGAGCCCAAGAGAACCCCAAAGCCATCAATGTGGACTACTGCTATTGCCCTTAATTCCCTCCCAGAATTGGAATGTAAGACCCTATTGCTCAAGACACCATATACTTTGGTCACAGGTCTTGGAAGACTCGAGCTGAAATAAATCTGGAAGCCTCCTCCCCGAGAACTAGCTCTCATCTTATCAGAAAGTATTATGCAAGTTGTCAAGGGAGGAGAGGGACTGGTAGTCCTACAGAGCTACAAAGCCCATGAAACAGAAGAATGAATGGACCGCCAAGATAATCACAAAAGTCAAAATAGTGGCCCTTTACTTTGGGGTAATTAAACAGCTGTCTAATTGGACTGAAGGCCCACTCAACATGGTGATATTTGTAGGAGGAGGACCTACTTGTTTGTCCTGGCCACCTGGCTAGCTTAGCCCCGAAATAACCACACAGAAACTGTATTAATTAAATCACTGCTTGTTCCATTAGCTCTAGCTTCCTATTGGCTAACTCTTACATCTTAATTTAACCCATTTTTTAATCTGTATATCATCACGAGGTTGTGGCCTACCAGCAAAGTTCTGGCATGTCTGACTCTGGTGGCGGCTCCATAGCATCTTCTGATTCTGCACTTTTTTCTCCCAGCATTCAGTTCTATCTTCCCTGCCTATCTAAGTCCTGCCCTATCAACAAGCCAAGGCAGTTTCTTTATTCATTAACCAAGAAAAGCAATACATAGACAGAAGGACTTCCCACACCAGGTATTCATGCCTAGTACTGTAGCCCTAGCCAACTACCAGTGACTACCCAAGACGAGTGTCTAAACAGTTTCTTAAACCAATACAATTTTACTGTTTTCTAAATACTTATCCTTTCACCCCTCATCAAAGCATCTTCTTTTTACAATAGACGGAGACTATTAAAAAGATCACAACTGGATAAAATGCAAGGAATAAGTGACTATGGGGTTCTCAACCCCAATTGATATATGTGTAAAGTAACATCCAAGGCTTAGGGGAAATTGTGGAAGAAGGGGCAGAAAGAGTCAGAGGTGAGGATGTCTGCTATTACATTGTATCCCCTAGGCACCATAGACAGAGAAGCTGCACCCATGAACTCTCAACAGTACGGTTGGTTGAACAAGACTGGCATAATGACAACCGTAGTTGACAGTCCACTGTAGACAGGGGAAATTCCACATGACCCAACCACTAGGTGAAAGGCTATAGGCTTTGTGACTACAGAGAGGTTCAACGTTCTCTATGGACAAGCTCCCACATAGGTTGTTCAATCCTAAATGGCCATCCCTAGACACAGTACATATGAATAAAGCTAATGGACTCAGTGGGTTACATATACATATATACCATACTCATGTATATACACACATGTAATAATAAAGAAGAGATCATGAGTTTGAAAGAGGAGTTAGAAGTGGGAGAGGTAGATATGATGTAGATGCAGTACTTACGTATGAAGTTCTCAAGAAATAACTATTAAAAAGAAAGAGAAAAAAAATACCAACAAAAAATTTCCCCAGAACCTTTTGCTCTGTTGCAGATTGAAACTCCCAACTGGAACTATAGTCCCTGAAGATGGTTGAGTATAACATGAGGGCCAGCTTGTTGGGGTTTTCTGTCCTGCCTGGTACCCCACAGCGGGAAAGCTCCAAAGAAAATCACACAGAGAGTCTACAATAGGTTATAAACTGATTGGCCCATTGGCTCAGGCTTATTGTTAGCTCTTGTAGCTTATATTAACCCATTATTCTTATCTATGTTAGCCACATGGCTTGGTACCTTTCTCAGCCGGGTATATCACTTCCTGCTTCTCGGTGGTCTGAGCAGGAATGGGAGGAATGGGCTTCCTCCTTCCCAGAATTCTGTTCTCATCGCCCTACCTCTGCTTCCTGTCTGGTTGACCCACCTATACTTTCTGCCTGGCCAATCAACATTTATTTAAAACATGATTGACAGAATGCAGACAATTCTCCCACACCAGTTGAGTTAGGACATCAAGACAGAATGGCCAGGGGCATGGTACCCTGCTCTTCAGACTGGAACAGTTCTCTGTTGTTCCATATTAGAATTAGAAAATAGTAAAACCCTCATTGTCCACTATGTTCAGCTGTGAACTCAAGAACAATGGCAATGGGTTTTTGATCCTATTGCACGAACTGGCTTTGTGGGAGCCTAGGCAGTTTGGATGCTCACCTTACTAGACCTGGATGGAGGTGGGTGGTCCTTGGACTCCCCACAGGGCAGGGAAACTTGATTGCTCTTTGGACTAAC